TGAATTTTTAAAAGTACGTTTTCTTCTCAAAACCAGCAGACACATTTTTAGCATTTAACTTAAAAGGACTGTCCCTCCACTGGAAGCTCTGGCAGAGCTGTGACTGGTTAGCCTTGGGCAGAGGGCTGGGGTGAGAAACAGGACTCTGTGCTGTCCCAAGGTGACTTCCTCCTTAAAGGCAAAGTGTGACTGAAGACAACCGCGGTCCCCAAGCCAAGCAGTTACTGAAACAGTTTGGAGGCAGCTCCTCTGGAGCATGGCAGACACAGGACACCAGGAAAAAGCAACATGGATGTCTCCTGGCCCTCACCCAATTATCTGTATTATGTTTTTCTTGTGTTTCTGCAGTTGCTAAAAAATGCAATAAAACACTTTAAAAATTAGCCAGCCCTAAAATTTTCAGTCTTTTTGCCATATCCATGTGTATGCATATTGTACATATCTATGAAAAATAATTCTTTTAAGAGAAATTACACTATCAAAACACACCCTCAGCCAGGCATGGTTGTTTGCGCCTATAATCCTAGCATTCTGGGAGGCCAAGGTGGGAGGATCACTTGAGGTCAGGAGTTCAAGACCAGCCTGAGCAAGAGTGAGACCCCCGTCTCTACTAAAAATAGAAAAAATTAGCCGGGCGTTGTGGCTTGTGCTTGTAGTCCCAGCTACTTGGGAGGCTGAGGCAGGAGGATCACTCAAGCCCAGGAATTGGAGGTTGCTGTAAACTAGGCTGATGCATGCACTCTAGTCCAGGCAATAGAGTTAGACTGTCTCAAAAAACAAACAAACAAATACCACACCCTCTACAGAAAGGCTGCAGAACATGCAGAAGGCTGTTGCTCCCTGCATCCGGCTACTGACAGGCCAAGCACTTTCATGAGGCCACAGGTTGAGGATGATCTGAGGAAAAGCAGTTACAAGAAAAGAAAATACAACGCAAAAACCCAAGTGCTATTTAATAAGGAACTGATTATTCCTGCATGATAATATTCGGATTGTGTTAGGGTACTCATGGGGTCTCTTCCTAGCCAAAGCATTTGAATTAATTTGATTTTACAGAAACTATGTTCCTAAGGTAATTATTTAAAAAGACATTTGAAGGGGCAGCAGTTTTCGTTTAGACTTTTGCATAACAAACTGGCAACAGAAATGTCACATAAGAGTTTGAGAGTGAAAGTACTTAGCTGGACTTAAAAACCACCCACCCACCCCCACACACACCACACACACACATTTTGTTTTAAATGCAAGGTTGACTTCTTAGATCAAGAAATGGTTATTCTCTGAGAAGTACAACACTTTTCTTCTCTCAAGACCCTCCCCCCCAAAATATACTTATTTCATTTGTTTGCTTTTTTCATTGAATATTTGAGACAAACTGTGTTACAGGTAGATGTATCTGAGGGTATGAAACAAACTACTACAGCCCTAAAATCACACACCTGTGGCACTAACAATGCCACATCTCTGTGGGTGGGAACCTGCTCTATGGGCCTTGAGGGCTGGGCAGGCCCCTGCTTGTCCTGGACCTTGGTGTCACAGCAGCCTCAGTCCCTGGGGGGGGGCTCCTGGGTCAGGCTCACTCTGGCGCTCCTTTTGTGATTGGTTGTTACTATGTTGTTTCAGGCATTATATCTGAACAAACAAAAAGGACTCTAGAGAAAAAAGATGAAATTCTCCAGGAAAATGATATTTGGAATAAAAGGCCCTCTGTGACACTATGGCTTTTAATAACTGCCTAACCTCTTCTCCAAACACATAACAGATGCAAAAGGCACAGACTAGGGCCTGGCAAGCCACAGAGAGCTCCTCTCCCACCCTCTGGACAAAGGCCCTGCTGGCTTTCTCTGGGCTCACTCCACGAGCACTTCTCTCCTCAAGAGCCAGGCCTTTTCCTCCCTGGGTCTTAGCCATCTTTCCAGACTGCAGCTAAGTCCCAGCTCCTCTAGGAAGCCTTCCAGAACCAGTCTGGGCCTTGTTTAAAGCACAAATCCCACAGAGACTTTCAGGAGTCTATTCCATTAAATTGCCTGCGAAGCGCAAGGCTCACCTGGGCAGACTCCTGAACTGTGCTCCGGTACCTGCTGCGAGGCCCACAATTGAAGGCTGTGCCTCCCTGCTCCCACTTGCTTTCTGGGCACCATGTCCCAGCGCAGCTGTGCCTCTCCAGAGGGTAAGGGGTGAGATGGCCCCCAGGCTCATAATTCAGACTGGTAACATCTTGTTACCTAAGGAATGCTTGAATTCCTGCCTAAGTGCCTCAAACAGAAGTTCCTCCTCTTTCCTGACCTTTAGACTGCTGAAAAATTACAGCACTTTATACGTACTATTTCTCTGCAAAAAGGAAGATCATCTTGCTGGCACCCAGTTTGATCAAAAGGGTCAGGTGGCAATATTGAAAACAGGAAAAAACAGGAAAAACGACACAGAAAACATTTCCTTTGAGGTATGCAAGTGGGGCTTTAAGAGGCCCTTAGAAAAAAGGGGTGGGCACCATCAGAAGCTGAAAGCCATCAGTCACAAAACAAACACTCAATGATACCTACTCAAGGCGAGTCCTGTGGACACGGTGGTGAGTGAGGGAGACACGGTCCAGCTCCCACCAGGCGGATGGGCGAGGCAAATGGCAGCCAGAAGGGAAAGGAGGGGAAAGGAAGATCTTCTGGCCCATCCAGAATTTCATCTTGAGACTGGAGGCAAACACGGGGGCTCACCTGCCATCACCTGCAAAGCTGTGATTTCCTCCAGGAGTAATGTAAGAATCAAGTCTCCTACAGGTGTGCTCCATTCTCCAGTGCCACCAGACTCTATCTCTAAATAACAGCAACAAAGCACCCTTGGCTCAGATGACCAGCTGTGTCCCTAGAAGAATCATTGCCAGGGCAGTCATCCACCCTTGCTCAATGCTCAAGGTGAGGCCAGGTCAGCCCCACCACCAAGCCTGGTTTCTGGTCCTGGAGAGATATTGAATTTGGCTATGGGTTATGTGAGAGGAAGAGAAGCTGAAGGGCCATCAGAATAGGGAGGAGTAAGATCAAGACTCCTAAGAAGCTCCCAGTCTGGCACAATCAGCTAGAGCAGACATGTGGAGCACTGAGGATGCTTGAGAGGGAGCACACCTCCTGCTGCCAGGAAGGAGGGCTATCCTTGGGCTAACTCTGGACAGGTGAGCGTAAGTTGCTCAGAATGACTAGAAGAGGGGCTGGGGCTGCAGTGAAGAAAGGCACCAATGACAAGCAGCATGTGAGAAGGCAGAGATGTGAGGACACTTGAGCAGTTATACACTCATGTGATGAGGGCAGAGGGTACCCATGTGGGATCAGCAGGACCTGAGGCTGGAAGAATCATGGGGAGCCCCATCATAAATGTCAGACAGCCTGGCTTACAAGGTGACAAGGGAGATGCCATTGAGTCCCATGCCAGGGTATGCCTTGTGGAGTAGGGACTGGGCAGGGCTACTATTGGGGAGACCAGCTTATCTGCTACCAGGGGACCTAAGGAGGACACGACTGAGCCAGTCATCCTAGAAAATAAAGAGTGATGTGGGAGATATTCAGGAGGGATCTGGTGACCGACTGGATCGGGAGTAGGAGGGCAAGGGCTGTACTGGCCCCTCTGGAATTTAGGAAAAAGAGCAAGGCTAGAAATATCTATTGGGAAGTGATTTGTATATGTTGCTATTCCTCGGTATCCACGAGGATTGGTTTCAGGTCTCCCCCAACAGATACCAAAATCCAAGGATGCTCAAGTCCCTGACATAAAATTGTAGTATCTGCATATAACCTACACATGTACTCCCTTATACTTTAAATCATCTATAGATTATTTATAATATCTAACACAACACAAATCCATGTACATAGTTGTTATACTGTACTGTGAATAGCAATAAGGAAAAAAAAAAGTCTCTACATGGTCACTACAGACACAACCATGTTTTGTTTTCCTCAATATTTTCTTTTTTTTTTTTTTT